GCAGATTCAAACCAAGAACAGTGTTATTACATACAAAAAGAGGCCACCAACAAACGCTTGATTATCTTTCATGTGCAAATAATTTCCTTCAATTACCAGGGGTGGATCTAGAGAAATCGGCTGGCATGGAGACTTTAAGGGATAGTTTTATTCTGATTTTATGGCAAACAATCAAATATATCAATATTTGCTCGTAAAAGTCCCGAAATGAAGAATGGATTAGATTACTGTGGCACATTAGTACAGCATTACAGAGAAATATCTACAAGTGGCATTAGAAATCAATTTATTGTTTTATTTCTGAATCTTTCAAATCATTTTTCTAAATACTTGTCTTTTCTTGTTGAGCATAAATCTGTCACTTAGTCTAAATGTGTCCATAACAGATCGTTACAATATTTGTTTTAATTTCCATTTGAAACATGTTATTTAGAAAACAGCTTCCCCAAGATCCTCCCCTGTGAACTGTACATCTCTACATCTCTGTCTATACCTGTATCTATTTAATGTGCCTAAAAAGAGTCCTTTGTCTTAGGAAAAGGGAAATTCTCATTATTTATATTTGACCCAAGATGCAATAAAGTACAGTTCTCCTAAAACTAGAAGACAGAGTACCAGCTAATATGTGATGTATTCAAGTGAATTAGCAGCAGTGAGTGGAGGAAAGCTGCGTGTCCAGTAATAAAACTAGCTCCAGACTAAATTGGCCTTTCAAATCAGACTAGTTCAAACTAGATCTCAATAGATATTGTTTGGAAAAACCCTAGATTTACACTAATAAACTGTACTCATTTTCTCAATGCTAATGAAGACTTGAATTAAACCTCCAAAGAAACAAGAATAATGCTGTTTGTCACATGGATACCACGTGGACTTGTTGGTCTATTTCAGTGTACGGGCCAGTTGTTATTGAAAAGAATAAACCCACACAATGATTTTGCTGAAATTATTTTCCGGCTCAATTTTCACATACACATAGAAAATGCAGTAAACATCAGTTCACTGCTTCATCACAAAAGGTAACAATATCCTCTCTCCATGTGCTGATCCCTTTAAGCGTTTTGTTTTTGTGACTGTATTCCTTTTTATGCTTCTGTTGTTCTGTCAGTCCTCTGATACCACCATATTGTGGGCTTTATGTGATCTGTTCCAGCTTTTATAAGCCGCCTCAGGCCAGTGGAGTGTGCTTATTATCTAATTAATGAGGACTAACATATTGTAGATTGTTAGAATTAAGTCCTGGACTCCATTGTCAAGAACTAACTTATCCATATGTAAGGTGTCTTTTAAAAAGCCAAGATTTTAAAGCTGGGATTAACTATTCTCAATTAGAACCTACTTTGGGTTTAATTTATACCCTTAAACTGGCAATAAAAGTCTTTACACTTTAATGAGCTGTAATATTGTGTTGATCCAGGTTGGAGATTTATTGAGTACTGATGCCCTTTTTGAGCAGTGTCCCGCTTCAAATTCGCACAGGTGCACACCTTCAGCAACGTCCTCCTCTGTCGACCACTGAGCAGATGGGAGGTACGACCCTACTAACCCTGTCTTGCACCAGTACACACGGTGGCAGTTGTTGAAGGAAGAACAGATTCACTGCTCGGGTTTAAAGATATTTGTAGCAGCCACAAGTCCAGTTCTTAAAGCTTGTAACTGCAACCCATTACAGTTCATACAAATTCAACTCCCAATAGCTACAGAAAGACAATAAAAAGTGACTTTTATGACTATAGAGTCTCCATAAACCTGCTTTGTCCACCCACTGTCAACATACTGTATGAATACCCTGATCACTTGATGCATGGACAGATCTGAAGCACTTTATTTCTCTGAAGAAAAACAAACCATTATAATAAAAAGACATGACACATATATTTTTCTTACGGAATAATGTTAGTAGGAAAAATGGAGGCAAAGGGGAAGCTTTTAAGCAAATTATTGAAAGCAGAAAAAAGATCATTGTGGAGAAAATGTGTCAACAATCTTGTCTTTTGCATCTTGCTACAATTATGTCACATTTTTCAACCAGCTTTTAAGGACGTGAATCTGACAGTCTGAACGTAATGTGCTAGACATTTTCAGGACTTTGGCAACCCTCTGAGTCCCTGTAGGCTTCTGCATCATTATACCTTCACCATCATTGCTATACTTCACTGGAATCAGCATGAGCCTTTCCTGGACATGACTGGATGAACACACCACTCGCTGGGCTGTCTTCGGTCCTGACTTTCAAACTGACAAAACATGGCTTCTTTAAAAAAATATTCAACTTCTTCCTTAATCTATTCATCAAAATCACTTTCTCTTTTCACTGCAACATCATCTGAACCAGGCTCACAATAGTTTGATGATGGTAGCAACTTCAGGCAAATAATAGATCTTTTGTTGTTGTTGTTGTTGTTGTTGAGATATAATAAAGAAAATTATTTGTCCTAGTTTTTATATCACAGACCACAGTAATAAAATACTGAAAGTCTCCAGTCAGGCTAGGCTCTATGAAGCTGTATTTAGGCACAGCAGTACTTTGAGCTAAATGCTAACATCAGCATGCTAACACGATCATAATAAAAATGCTAACATGGTGATGATTGGCAAGTATAATTTAAAGGACTGTTCAACATTTTACTTTAGCATACTATAAAGGGGATGTCATTACTTTTGCAGGTATAAAGATAGATAGATAGATAGATAGATAGATAGATAGATAGATAGATAGATAGATAGATAGATAGATAGATAGATAGATAGATAGATAGATAGACTTTATTAATCCCCGGAGGGAAATTGGGTCGTCATAGCAGCCAGTACACATAGTTATTATTATGGTCATAAACCAAAGTATGTTTTAACCTGATGGTGGCGTTAGGTGTTAAGTCAGAATAAGAGTAAAGTAATTATAATTCATCCTGAGAGGGACATGGATCTGTGCACCAAATTCAAACTGAGTCAGGGTGCTGTTGTTATGCTCACTGGAAAGGCTCTGCTACACTTAGTTTGTATCATTGGCAATCATTGGAGTTTACTTGACTTTTGGATAGACCTTTTTTTACAGCAGCCATTTGGACATTTTTTAAAGGTCTATGCATCCAACAGTTGTTGAGCTATTTCATTCCAAACCCACAAATGTGAACCTTGCAGGGGTGCTAGCGAAGAAATCAGGGGATAAGCAAAAGTCATTACTGGGAACCATGAACGACTGTAAAAAATGATGTGCCCATCCATCTTGTAGAAAATATGGATTTATCCTGAGGGGAACATGAGCATCTTTATCTGTTTTCTTTCTCTCGTTTCTTTTACTACTGTTGATGAGGGTTTTTAGTATAGTATATATAGTGTGTGCTTTGTAGAAATTGTCTGTGCTATGTGTTTTTTTGTTTGCTTATTTTGGTTTCCTTGAATAATAATGTAATTTTATTTTGCTAAAACCGGGGAGGACTCTGAATAAGCCTTTCAAGCTTTCTTCCTCTCCTGCAGTGTAATTACTGTTTTCTATATGTATGTATTTTGCTTTGTATTATTTTCCAACTTAACTAAACTAAAATATAAACTAAACTAAACTAATATCTGTATGTGCAGAGTTTCATGGCAATCCATCCAAACGTTAATTAGTTTCAACAGATAAATAAAATGGATTAGCCCAGAGCCTCAAGGTTTTGCTCAATAAGCAACTGAGTTCCTTCTTAGGGGACTAAATGCAGGTCCTCAATTTAAAAGTTGGTCACTTTAATTCTCTCTTATTTGATCCCACTGTATCTAAGAGTCAGAACCAACTGGCCTTGCTCTTTTAGTCTTTCAGACTTCATAGCCACACTAGACAACTCTTGTTTCTGTCTCTGGTAAAGAGCGGGTTAGACTCACAGCTCTCACTTGAAGAGATGAAGATGATAAAAGAAATTAATAATGGGAATTTTATTCAGGGTGGATTTTTCTTTTGCCGTCAGTAATGCACAGAGCTGAGTTTGAAGAGCTCATTGAAGCAGGTCTACTGTGTTCTGGACCAGCGAGAATGGCCAAGAGTCAACGTGTATTTTTTATGAAGGCTTGTGTGAAAATAATTATATTACTGTGCACTTTGAACGGTAGTTGGAACAGTAATGAAGCATCACAGGGAATGAACAATAGGTACCTGAAGCTGGCATGAGCTCACATTTATTCCTGCTGACCTGTGGTCAGATTCCAGCAGAACCCCCTTTCTGCTGAGCTGCTTTAAACTCTGGATCAGCTACTGGCCTACTAAAGCTGATAATGTCAGAACAAAGCTCTGAAGAAAATCATATCTTTAGTATGAGTGTTACACAGCAGCCTTCAGGGCACATTCACCATTAAAAACATAATTGCAGGTGATAGTCTGAATCAGTTCAATTTCTTAAAGCTGGAACTAATCATAATTTGGAGAAAACAAAAAGGGGGTGTTCAAAAGCCCTCCAGAAGTGTGTGTTTTAATTGAAAACCAAAAAGGAACACAAATCTCTTTTTATGTAAAAGTAATTGAACCATGTGGCTTTAGTTTAGCCTAGGGGTATATTCAGTTTTAAAAGTCCCTTAGATTTATTTGTTTGTTTATTTGTGAAGATTCCCGGTAGGTGGCCTAAAGCAAAGTCATCCTGGATTCCACAAATTTCCCACTGTTTCATCTTGTCTTAAAACTTTTACCATAAAGAGGTCATAGTTATCTTTACTGTCTTTCTGATTCTTCCATTTGGTTATCTTATAAAGTTTAAACCTGAAAACCTTTGTAATCTATGTATTTATCACACTAGGAAACAACATTTCACTTCTTAAAATACACAATAAACATGTAGCAGAGAGTTTGTTTACTCTCCTCCTTAATTTAAATGTGGTATTAAGATGTAAAAACCAAGATTTCTGGCATTTAAGCTCAATTTGAAGTGCTTTCTTTTCATTTGCTTGTCTTACATGTACGACAGATCTTTGAAGGGAGGGAACTAGTTGCCCCTGAGGCGCATACTGTGTTTAGCACAGCGGATGCGCACGGTAAATGTTCAGATCATAGTTTGCTTCCAGAGATAAACATGTTACTGCGACCACCACTGCTCATGCACTAAAACGTGATTAGATTCTGCGTTTTCCTGTTTTACATCATATAATCTTTGCCAGGGAAATCCACCTAACTCAAGAAGAGGCTACGCGCTCTTGGAGAGTGCGCGCGCCCAAGTTTGGAGACCAGACACCGGCCAGAGAGCGCCCGGTGCGCGCGTTAATTACAACCACACCGAGGCGATTATTAAGAGGATCTGAAGATGAATGACACGGACATATTTTGCAAAAACAACCAAACAGCGAACTTGACTGACCCATCATGTCTGAACTCAACCCACCCGTCTTACAACCACATCGACATCACCACTTTCATGCACATATTCCCTTCAATTTATGGGATCCTGTGTTCAGTTGGAGTTATAGCCAATGGACTGGTCATCTACGCAGTGAAAGCATGCAAGAAGAAAATGGTTTCGGACATCTACGTGTTGAACTTGGCAATAGCCGACATGCTGTTCTTGCTTGTGATGCCCTTCAACATTCACCAGCTGGTCAGAGACAGACAGTGGGTCTTCGGAAACTTTATGTGCAAAGCGGTTGTGGTGGTGGATGTCAGCAACCAGTTTACCACAGTGGGGATTGTTACTGTGTTGTGCATTGACCGGTAAGTTATGAATCCATCCATATGACAGAGTTGATGCCAATGTGTTATTACTATTATTTTTCTTTTAAAAAGAAAAAAAAGTAAGATTTGTTCTTTAAAGCACCCCAGTATAACACTATAACTACGAAATACAATATTTAACTATATATTTTTAAACAACTACAATAATACTTAAAAAAAACCTCTCTGAGAATAAAGGTAAAACTATTAGAATAATAAATTAGTAAAAGTATAATTTCCTCCTGTTACCCAGTGCCCATGGTGCCATCATTTTAAAGGAGGTAATCACTAAACAGTGCATCTAAAAATATATCAATGGAGTGGTAATGATCTGTGCAACAGCCCATGAAGACACAATGTTCCCTGCATAAATTATGTATATGTCATGTTTATGATCTGAACACACTTAGAACATTTAAATTAGTTTATTGCCAAGTGTTAGACCAATTTGAAGGTAATCACGGGAGCAGGAGTTGTTCCCAGAGCTATACATCTTCATTATGATATACATAAAGCATTTCCATAGTGCCACTAGACCAGCTAATTGTGTTCTGATGAGGAGCAACACCTGTAGTGGAAAATATCCTTTTTAACTGGTCTCAAAAACAAAGTGGACTCTTATTTTTTTATTATTACCAGCACTGTTTGGAGTAGACTTGATATGACAGCAATTCAACTCTGTCCTTTCAAATAACTATAATCATTTTTTTAAATGTTGCAAAGCTCTGTTGTTGCACATCATGCACAGCCCTATGAATCCTTAAAAACAGCTAATTATAGGAGATAAAACTAATGATAACATACAATAAACAAATACACAGAGAGTCTAGCCTGTGTGTGTTACCTCAACAGGTTATGAAAAATAAAAGGAGACATCATTTTAGTTTTTAAAATGTTTCACGAGGCAGATTAAACATCTTATTTGTCATCCTAATTCAATGAAACTATTGTGATTAGTTTTCCATTCGGCAGCTCCAAATGATAACCCTCAGGCCCCTGTCCTAATCAAAATCACATTTCTAGTTGTTTGTCTGACTTTAGGAGCACAGTGTAGTCATAGTGAAAATGGAAGCATCAAATATTAATATTACCAAGTTATATCTGTTAAAAAGATGTATATCATGTCATAATTCACACAAGTTACTTCTGTTTGTACCACTTTATCTCAGGACACGTGTGTAATTTCATGTCGTGGCAGTTTTTTGGACTCACAAAAGTCACAAAAGATTTGAAAAGTATAGAACATTTTGTTGAAGAGCAACTTTATATTAGGTTTGTACAGGATCACGAGAAATATTTAAACATTAGAAAGAAATACTGTCTGGATGCTGTCAAAACAAAACCTTTTTGGACCTGAATCTGTTTGCCCTAATGCAGTTTTTCTACAGTGAAATCAATAATGTAAACTTACATGGTTGGTACAGTTTATGCCCTTTATAGCAACTGCTTCTTCCTCTGTATAAAAACCTAAATGGATGTAGCCACATTTACAGCTACAGAGCATAAAACATTTAGTGCACTGGAGTTCCAGTAGTCCGGAGTGTAAGTTTTGATCGTATCAATATCTAACTTGGCTGATCTGAGGCAACACATGAGTAGGACAGAGACTGATTATTGATCTGCACTTATTGATTTGACCATCACACTAAAAGTACATTTATTTAACTTCAACAGAGCTTCTGTTGATAAACAGAATGCTAAACTATTCATTTATGGTCTAATTGCAATTAAGCAGGATTTCCTGGAAAAAATTACTAGAATGTCTGTGTCTTATGAAGTGCTTCAAATGCTATATGGACACAGCTAGTTGTATACATGTTTGTTCTGGCATGACCACAGCGTAGCATGTAGAGAGCAACTGGAAATATGTAATTTGCTCCACTCAAATGACACTTGGTGTAAGTAATGACATAGTGGCCATTTATTTCCTGCAAATGTCCTAAAGATGGAGGTCAGTTTTGATGAAATTAGCTGAGCAGCTTCTCATATTGAAACACAATCAAATATAAAATCTAAATGGAAATCTGTTCACTTTCTCCTGTCTCCCTGTTTAAATGATACTAATTTGTCCGTGCATGCATCACTTTACTGAGCACGTAATATATTGAGAGTGTACCTCTGACATAGCACTTGGTTTCATCATTCCCCCTTGCCTGATTTGATTCTTTGAGCTTGTCATGGATGAAAATTACCTCTTAAAGCAAAGCTAATGTTCTTGATATGCACTTCAGCAAAGTTGCGTTTATCATTTGTTGCCTCAGACTGCAGTCCAGCTCTAAAAGAGAAACTTCTTCCTCCTAGGTACATTGCTATTGTTCACCCCACCTCAGAGAAGAGGACCATCCAGTGGACCATCGTCATCAACATGCTGGTGTGGCTGGGAAGCTTCCTCCTCACTGTGCCGGTCATGCTGTACGCCAGAGTTGTTCGCAGACAGCATTTGGAGGTGTGCATGATGTACCTGGACGGGCCTGAGGACATGTACTGGTACACTCTCTACCAATCTATCCTGGGCTTTATCATCCCTCTGATCATCATCAGCACCTTCTACTCACTCACCCTCTATCACGTGTTCAGCTCCATCCGTCGCGTCAAACGTAAGCAGTCTGTTTGGGCTAAAAGAGCCACCAAGATGGTCCTAATGGTCATCGCCCTGTTCCTGATCTGCTGGTCGCCCTACCACGTCATTCAGGTGATCAACCTGACCAACAACAACCCCACTATTGCTTTTGTGTATGCCTACAACATCAGTATCTGCCTCAGCTACTCCCACAGCTGCATCAACCCACTCATGTTGCTCATCTTCGCCCAGAATTACCGCGAGCGTCTTTGCCACAGGAACGCACCGCACAGCTCCCAGCACTCGTCCAAGATCACGGTAGTCAAAACGGATGGATCCAGTACGACCAATGATCCCAACTACCGCTGTACTGTCATCTGATCAGAAAGATTACTTTTTGTATATACACATGTAAATGTTTTGCTGCTGGCCCCCGAAAAGGAAGTGGCTTGATGAATGGTGTTGCCTGTGAGGTAATATTCTCCAGATATTTCAAATAAATAAGTCGAAAATGAACACCTTACAAAAAAACTGGGTGTGAAGCTTGAGAGGCAATATCAACCGCGACTAACAGGTAACGTCAATGGTTTTCAACCTATACAGTACCACAATGTCTCATTCAATCACTCACAGTCACATATAATCATGTCTAAAAATAACAGCCACCTCCCTTTGCTGATGAAGCCACTGTCTCTCTCTACATGCCAACTGATTATCAAACTATCTGCCCTGCAAGACGGGCTTCTTTCCCCCTGAAAGCTGACCTACAGTGTACATCTCTTTTTACTTATCCTTGTAGGATGAACCTCCCTTCACACGTCTAGCCTTGTCTAATGACCTGCACTCATTATGATAATGATAATTACATATTATCCCATGTTATTATTATTATATTATTTATCTACCCAACACTTCCCCCTTTCATTATAGTTATTATTTCACAATATAAGCAATGAGATCACAATGGTTATTACTTTTTAATGGATTTTCTCCTGCTAAAACTTGGTCACAGCCAAACACTCATACCAATGCACATACTGCAGATCAGCCCACTAGCTCACACTTTCATCTGCATATTAATTTACTTACATAATTCTCTGCTCTACACCGACTTATTTATTTATTAACCCATTCCTGTTTGATCGTTTTATCGTTTTATTTAATTATTTGTTTTGCACCCAGACCCATTCTCTCCCCCTCCCAGTTACGGTTAATGAAGTTTCAGGAAATCATCCCACCATCAACGGTGGTGATGAGGCAGCACCTCTAGCTCAGCTGTAGAGTCCAGCGCAGGGTGGTGGTAGTCTCGGGGGGGGGGGTTTACAGGGCAGGGTAATAGAGCAAGGACTGGGTCCACTGCATTAAAGCAACGTTTTATATGATTTGGTATTTGTTGCTGGGTGTGCTCTGTGGTAAATATGGATAACGTTACAAATGTATTTGTTATGATTACATTGCTTATGATCAAAAATGAGCTAGTCAACATTTTGTTAACACAGCACAGCTAAACATCAAGCAAGTGCAACAACACAAGACTTTGCTTGCCAGCTAATATAACTTATTAGTCCCACAGCCAGAAGGCCAGCTTGCCGCTTTTTACTTCACAAAGCTCTCACAAGTCAGTCTGAGATTTACTTGAAGAAGCTGCTGAGCCTGGTTACACTCCCCGCCTGCTGGCATGTTGGTTGAGTGCTCTGAGCAACCAGTCCCAGGCGTTAAGGGCAGTACAGCGGCTAAGCAAACTAGCAAACAACAGCTACATTTGGCAACTCTTTTAATCACAGAGAGTTGAGGCAGAGCAGACATCAGAGGGAAAATGAGAAAACATTTTCTCCATAAAATATGATCCAGTTTTCACAAATATCAGTGACATAGTTGGTGGTGTGTGACTTATTGCCATAAAGCGCTACGCATGTCCTGATCTGGAGCAAAAAGTTACATAGTGCAGGAACAGGTGTATAAGGCACAGAGAGGGAATGAAGCTGTTATTGAAGCTGTTATTTTAAGGTGGGAAAGTTACATAATTGTTGGTTTAAAAATAAACCAAAAATGATCTCCCTTTCTTGGCAGTTCCTGAAAGGGGCCATGGGTATCTGCAATGGACCAGCACCCTCCCAAGGGTCTAGGTGTGACCCATACACTTAGGGTTTAGTTTATCTACTTTCATTTTATTCTATATTTGTTTATTTACTCAGTCTTTCACTCATACACATACACATGTGTGCCCTGCATAACAACTCTTAGCAACAATAACGGGCTTGCATATATTATTATATAATTATATAATTATATTTATCATAATATCTATTATTTTCTTTTGGGGGGGGGTGTTCTGTCAAGTTTCTGTCATGTTTCCTCCATTTGAATGTACATATAAACCCTTTTCCTCTACTTCTATGTATTTTATATCTCTACCTCTGTCTGTGTTTATGTACTGTCCCCTTTCACATAAAACAAAATGAAACAAAGGTTTTAAACAGAAACTCTAAGGAAAAAGAAACAGATCTACTGCTCAGAGGGAGGTGAGCTTGCTAACGAGGACAGCAACTGTCCCTGAGCCAAAACTAGAGAGAATATCAACACTGACTTTCAAAGATGCACAGATGACAAGGGACACTGAAAAGTCACTCATATGTGGCTCTTTTTTCTTTTGGACTCAGACCTTTCATTATTAACCTTTGTCAACCGCCGGCTACGTCCATGCTGGACAGTGACAACACTGAAGTGCAGCTTGTGAGATTTGTCACTGGCGAATATTAACAAGATCAAGTGTGAAATACTGAGATATTAGCTGTCTTATTATCAGCCAGCTTCCTGGGGGATTATGATAAAATGTAATTCCACTTCATAGTTGTAAGAGTTGTCTGATGGAAACATTGTGACTTAGTCAATGGGAACACTTTGCTCATAACCAATGGCTAATAAATAATGTACTAATTCTTTATAGATCAGTTATAAGGGTTCAGGTTGTAAAAAATCTAACTGGCTGGTGTGTTTTTTTTTTTCAATAATGCAGTTATAAATGTTGGTAATCCATTAATAAATGCTCAAGAGTTTCGAATAACACTAACTCATTGTTTGGTAGGTGAAAGAAATCAAAAGCAATTCAATTGTATAGTAGTCAAACATTAGAGAAACATTTCACAGCTGGTTTCAAGTGCTTTTGTAAGTCCAATAACAGCTCAGTTGTGTTAAAAATTTGTCACTAACATAACATATAACATACATAAGTACTGTATCTAATGAATATTTGCCAATGGCTGCAGAATGGATGACACATACATACATGCTGTACCTGATAACAGAGCTGAACAGTCAGTACACTGTTGTTATAAATACAGTATTTAAAGAGAAATACTGGTTGGTTATCATGAGCACAGATTTAAAGCCTGGTTAGTTTTAGACTCGGAAGAACAGCCCATTTCTGTTGGTTTTAGACTCTAATCGCTGGAAAATGCAGCGTAAAACACCAGCGAGTGCTTTACACCCAATGTCTGAACAACATAAAGGCAAACAAGACAGATTGTCGGGACAGGCCTACGATGGGGCAGTTGATCCCAGTGGATGTGTTACAATCTTTATGGATTGTTTTTAAAATGTCCTTTCTTTTTTCTCCTGAGCTACAGTTACGATCATTTTAGCTGCACACCCCACCAACAGCGTCCTGTTATCAGGTGGGGGTCAACTAAATACTTGCAGGTTTGTTACCTGGGAGGTTATCTGGTGAAACAGATACAGTGAAAAAAGTGGATACTATATATTATATATTAATTTAGATGGTGTTGGTTGCCTTAATTAGCAGAATAATGTAGTTGTGTTCTCTTGTTGTCATATTCATTGTACAATGTCCTTCAGGTTGTTGTTTGTGGGTTTTTTTTATTTTCAGTGCAAGATCAATCTGTATTCACCCAAACTGCTCAGGAGCTGCTTTTAAATTTAAGCTTTGAAGTGTATCGTTTGTGACAAGGAGCTTTTTTCATAATGGACTCAAAAGACAGAAACAGTGATATTGCAGAGACATGAAAGTACCTGTCCTGTGCTCTTGAATCGCTATAATGTAATTTGGCTGATTGTATAGTACATTTGGACATTTGGATAATGAAAAGTGAGACACGTTGTACAGAAACATTATATTTGCATTATCTTTTGTCATCAGAGTTATTAAGTATGTTTACAGTGGCACTGGAGCACTAAATGTGATGTACTTTGTGTCCTGTATACAAATCACTCCTCCATATGTTCAAATAGACGTGCACCACACTGTCATTATAGGGTTCTTTTCTGTGCTGTGTGCAAAGATTGTACAGTAGGCATTGTTTTAGTCTGATCAAGGCTGGATTACCATCTGGGCAAAGCAGGCAACTGGGTCCCAGGTCTGTAGGTTCACTCTGTGGAAATTAGTGTATGGTAATTTTATAATATGCAAATGTGTTTGGTTATATTCACCAGTAACGCACAATATAAACTGAACTGGTAAAGGTGGCTCCTGCATTCTTTTCATGATCTTGAGGCCTTGTGTTTTAATCTAGTTTGAATACCTTTAAAGGAGCACTCCCGTGATTCACAATTCAATTTAAAATTGGGGTCAGACGTTTAAGCCTTAGTGTTAGTTCAAACACACTAGATCCTACATTTCCTATAATGCAACCGATAGCATATTTTTATGAGACGTAATCACGGTTATTTTCAGACCTTTACGAGAGCTCCTCCAGAGCCACAGAAGAAATTATTCAACTGTTGTTGCTGTGAGTATTCCTAAATAAAGTTGAGTGTGATCAGGTGGCCCACAGCTTATTTTTGCCTCAGTGGTTTAATCCGGCCCTGACTTCGATGTATAGTCCATTTTCAGTGTGGTATTGTTGAAAAGTTGTCACACATTTTTGATGTTGAAGTAATGGCTACTAATTCCACTGGCCAATGAAATCATTTCAATTGTATGTGGTTGTTGTAGTCTATGGTGAAACATACATGCCATAACTTATAAATAATCAATATATGAGTCATAACTGAATGTAAACATTGTTTGTAAAGATTCAGACATATATTGTGTGGTATACTTGTATACTTAATTATTTTCCAAATGTTGTCAATGGAGAAACTGCAGCCTGTACTTTGATAGTCAGTAATTTAAGCTTTGTCACACAAGCTGTTTTTATTTAATTAATCAGTGCTCTTATTTCTTTTTACAATATTTTACAATTTTAACAACCATAAAGAATATCTGGAAGATTCAGGCTTTTAATCATTGATTGGTGCAGTGGTAATATTCAAGATTTATCTTTGATTGCCCTCACCACATCAAACAGAAACACTTGACTTTGCTCTTAACAGTGATTTTTCATGAGCTTCTAGGGGATGCCAAGTGAAGAAGTAGAAAAGGACTGCATGAAAATAAGACGGACTGTCATTTATGGTGTTGTGTCTGATGTTGTGGGACATATTGTGACTAATGTGACCCCATTGGAAACAAAGGTCAGTGGGTTAACAGTAGAAACAGTCGCAGAGGGACAACAACAAACAATCATCCACTTACGTGACCCTGGATGAGACCACGACCTTGTTTCTTGTTTGATTAACTAACGGCAGATTCAGACTGCAGAGGATTTCATAAAACTGCATTAAATTTCCTCTGAATTATCAATGTGTCGTCACAGCAGTTTTATGAATGATAGATTTTTTTTTTCCTGTCATGAGGCCAAAATGCTTTGGGAATTATGGATCCTCGATGTAATTTGATTTGAAAGTTATGGACACAGTTGAACAAAATTATCATGGTAGCCCAAACTGTATCTTTGCAATTTTTTCCCTATTTAATGAGATTGCCTGATTGAATCTTTGACAATCCTTATTTTTCAGACTGGATGAGTGTAACACAGCAAATATGTGCTGATGCCCCTTTGAGGAAAACAAAACACATGCACATATAAATATAGAACACCCCTAAAATAAAAAGAGGTGTATTGTGGTGTTAGTGATAGCTATCATTTTTATTTTGACTCTCATGAAGTCAAAATTGTATGTTACCATGAGGTTGCTAGGCAACAAGCATAGACTGTAGGAAGATGCTAAGCCTGAGCGCTAGTTGCTAAAAAATAGGCTAGTTACTGTGTGTAAAACCTTGTGTAGCCACATTTTTATATTTCTGTTAGTGAGGGAATCAAGCAAACAAGATATAATGTGTTAATGTTAAATAAGTTGAGCAGAGATATTTCGCCCTGTTTCCGGTCTTTATGGTAAGCTTAAGCTAACAGGCTGCAGGCTGCAGCTCATAAGAGTGTTATCAATCTTCTTTAACTCTCTGCAAGAAAGTGAATAAGTGCATTTCCCAAAATGTCAAACTCTACCTTTAAGTCCTGCCAGAACATAATGTCTGATATAAATAGCAAATTGAATTAAATTGGCAGGACAGCATTAGTTAAGAACAATCACTTGTTACAAAAGCTGAAAAATAGGCTCCCACAAAAATGATTGGTCAAACTGAACTTATTCTAATGTCCGCATTAAATTGTGACACAAACACATCAACAAACATGAGAAACTTAAGAAGAGAAGGTAGTAGGCAGGTATTAGAATGTCAATTCACTGTATATATTAAATATACATTCCTGAGGAAAATGTATATTTTCATTTTTAATGGAAATGACTTTGTTCCAAAATAAAAGTCTTCTTTTGTGGATGGCCTTAATCAACCTCTTAAATGGGATTATTTTCATCTCTCTGTTCAAAGTGAGATTTTACAGCTTGTGTTCTGACAGTTCATTATTAAAGATTAAGAATTTCAAATTACCCTCTTCTTCACACTGGTACAAGCAGCACCTGTTCTGCACCAAAAACACATTCCAGTCCTGATTCAATAAATGGTTTGACAGCAGTCCTTTGATAATCTGTGCGAACACATAAATCACATGATTTTCTCCTCACCTCTCCTTTCTACTGACTTCTCTTTCTTATCTCAGTAAAGCAGATCCCTCCAAGTCCCTCTGGAGACAACATAAATCAAATTATGGATTCTTTACACTCATGTCTCAGGCGTGGAGAAGAGAGGCAAAACTTTTTTCCCCCTTGCATTTATTATAGGAAGAGCTATCATCATGAGATTATAATAGATGCACATCTGACGAACTCTCTGCTCGGCTTCTAAAACATTAAAGATCACTGCATGTAGAGTAAGTGGGCTGGTTTTAACAGCGCTTTTCAGGTGCTCAGGTGGAGAGTTATAGCTGGTGAACCAACGCTGACGATAAAAACTTCACTTGTTAACACTAAAATGCTGCGGTAGCACAGTGCTGTCCCAGTGACATTGATATTACACTTGAAAATATCGCCCTGTGGAAGTGGAAGTAAGGTGGACTAAATTTCTGCTCATCCACCGTCCACACCCAAACGTCATCCAGATATCACACGCTCTCCCTCGCAACACTATGCTATTTCTATGTTATCAAACTGTTTTGCCAAAGATGACTCACTGGCTATAATAACCATTATGGGATGAGTTTTTCTTTTCTTTAACAAACTTAATTAAATGATAACACTGGTTATAATAATAATAATAATAATACATTTTATTTATAAGCGCTTTTCTAAATACTCAAAGACACTTTACATAAAAAAAATAAAATAAAAAATAGAATAAACATAAAAGCAGCCAAACAACATCAAATAGTAAAACATTAAAAACACATCAGACTTAGCTAAACATTAAAAGCAATTTTAAAAAGGTGAGTTTTTGTCAGTGATTTGAATGTTGGAAGGTCGGTACAGTCACGGATGGGTTTGGGGAGAGAGTTCCAGAGGGAGGGGGCAGCTACAGAGAACGCTCTGTCGCCCCAGGTTCGGTGCTTGGTCCGGGGTGGAGGAGTCAGGAGGTTTGCTTCAGATGAGCGGAGGCTGCGGGATGGATTGTGGCGATGGAGCAGGTCAGTCAGGTAGGAAGGAGCCTGGTTATGGAGGGCTTTGTGTGTAAGGAGGAGGATTTTGAACTGAATGCGCTGTGGAACTGGGAGCCAGTGGAGGGTCTGGAGGACGGGAGTGATGTGATCACGGGTGCGGGTGTGGGTGAGCATACGTGCAGCGGAGTTTTGGATGTATTGTAGCTTATTTAGAGTTTTGGATGGTGTGCCATAGAGGATGCTGTTGCAGTAGTCGATTCTGGAGGTGATGAAGGCGTGGATGAGGGTTTCAGCAGCAGAGAAGGAGAGTGATGGGCGAAGACGGGCAATGTTCTTGAGATGAAAGAAGGCAGTTCTCGTGATTAGGTTTATGTGATGTTCAAAGGAGAGGTTAGTGTCAAAGATGACTCCGAGGTTGCGACTGTGGGGGGATGGAGACAGGGTGGAGTTGTCAATGGTGAGGTGGAAACTGTCTGTGGTTTTGGTGAGGGATTTGGGGCCGATAATGATAAGGTCTGATTTGTCACAGTTGAGTTTGAGAAAGTTGGAATGCATCCAGGATTTGATGTCGGTGAGGCAGTTGGAGAGAGTCGAGTGAGTGCCCGGGGTGATGGATTTGGTGGAGATATAAAGCTGGACGTCATCGGCATAACAGTGGAAGTGGAGACCATGGTGGCGAATGATGTTGCCAATGGGGAGCAGGTAGAGTATGAAGAGGAGAGGACCAAGCACCGAACCCTGGGGGACGCCTTGGGACAGGGGAGCAGTGGAGGAGGTGCAGTTGTTGACATGGATGAATTGTTGTCGGTCTGTGAGGTAAGATTTTAGCCAGGAAAGTGCAGTGCCAGTGATGCTGAGAGAGGACTCAAGACGGGAGAGGAGAATGGTATGGTTGATGGTGTCAAAGGCTGCAGTGAGGTCCAGGAGGATAAGGATGGTGAGGTGGCCGGAGTCAGCGGAGAGGAGGATGTCGTTGGTGACTTTCAGGAGGGCTGTTTCGGTGCTGTGTTGGGAGCGAAAACCGGATTGAAATGGTTCGAACAGTTCATTTGAGCAGAGGTGGGTTTTGAGTTGTGTGGCGACAATACGTTCCAGTATTTTGGACAGAAAAGGAAGATTGGAGATGGGCCGAAAGTTAGACATGATGTCAGGGTTGAGTCCAGGTTTTTTGAGGATGGGGGGTGACAGCAGCCAATTTGAGTGAGCGGGGGACTGAGCCGGACTTGAGAGAGGAGTTGATGATTTCTGTGATGAGTGTGGAGATGGCTGGTAAAGAGTCCTTGATGAGGTGAGATGGGATAGGATCCAGGACACATGTAGTGGTTTTCATGCCTGTCATGATTTTGGGCAGCTCCCCTGGTGACACGGGGCAGAACTGAGACAGAGGCTGAGAGGCGAAGGGGGGGGGAGCAGATGAAGGAGTGGGATTGCAGGCTGTGGGGGCAGGAGCGGAGGACAGATTGTTATAAATGGTGTCGATTTTTGATTGAAAGAATGAAAGAAAGGAGTTGCATTTGTCAGTGGTGAATGACTTGGAGGTATTGTCGCTGGGCTTGAGGAGTTTATTTACTGTAGAAAACAGAGCCTTGGGGTTGGTGGAGCCAGCGTGAATGAGGTGAGAGTAGTAGGTGGACCGGGTGGTGTTGAGGGCATCCTTGTACTGCAGGAGGTAGTCTGTAAAAGTTTGGAGATGAACAGTTAAACCGGTTTTCTTGTAAAGTCTTTCAAGTTGTCGTTTGCGTGTTTTCATTTTGTGCAGTTCAGGAGTGTACTCCTTTTCTTGTCAATGAATCCCACAAAAAGACCAAAACCAACAATGAAATGACTCTACTAACAAGCATTGTGTACCTAAATCCTGATTACATCTTCACTGGTCCACTGTTAGGGCACTGGCTATTATTACAATAAACACGGGCATTGTAGTTTACTTTTAATCAATCCCACATAAACCATCCTGCTGCTGTAAATACAGCACCAAATGTATATATACATAGTGCCTTTCTAGTCTTCCCACCACCCAAAGCGCCTTACAATACATTAATCAGAATCATCATCAATCAGAAACAGGAAGCCAATTATTCGCTCACACCATTGGCACAGCATTGGGAGCAATTTTGGGTTCACTAACTTGTTCAAGGTCACTTTGACATGCAGAGGGAGGAGCTAAAATGTTTTGACACATTTTTAAAGATGCACGTCTTCAGTAGGAACCAATATAATATGTTCTGATTGCCACAGACAGGGTGGAGGAATCAGAAAGTACTGAGTGATGGACACAAAGTTGGTTTTGACCTTTTCAATCAGAGCCATTCAATCAGAGCCAATCAGCCTTATCCTTTAAGGAAACCGACACTGTTCATGTGATCAGTTAAAGACACAGTTCTCTTCCCTACTGACAATATTAACTACACCGCTCAGGGGAACATAGACTCAGAACGTAGAGGTGGATGCTGGGGTGGAGATTAGGCTTATGAACAGCAGCAGCAGCAGGAGAAGCAAGTGTCTGCATAGCTTTCAGGCAAGCAGCGTGGCAGCAGACATGATAGCAAAAAGAATGTGCTGGACCTGAATGTAAACTAGACCTGTTGCTGCAGGTGCAAAGTAAAGATTTTTTGGAAGTGCAAAGGACGACTGGTGTGACTTCATGCTGATCGTCAACTGTTTCCACTCAAGAACAAATTACACATAAGGACACTTGGAGGCTTTAAGAGCAATCGACCTAATACCCTTTAAAAAAATGTAATGAACAGAC